ATTTCTGCTATGAAGAGGGAGATGTTGATTTTTCTGCCGTCCACAAGGTTTTTGGCGCAAGCAATGTGTCGAGGCTTTTAGTTCACCTTCCGTTGAGCGATCGATGCAAGGCCGCAATGTCGATATCATATGAAGCTCAAGCCAGGATTCAAGATCCCATATATGGATGTGTTTCACATATTTTTGCTCTCCAACAGCAGGTTAATCATTTAGTACCCTTTGTATGTTCAGATTGGGTTTCTGTTCAGATTGTATGTTGAAGTAACTGATGAGTATATGCTTTTGGTTTGAACTTTTCAGGTGGTCAACTTACAAGCACAGTTAGCTTTCCTCAAGGATCAAGCAGCTCAAAGCTTTGTCAATGGCTCAAACCCTAATCAAGCAGCTCAAAGTTGGAATTATGAGAATGGAATTATGAATTCAAATAACTCTGTTAATGGGAGTTATGAAAATTTAGTGAATATCCCAGAAGAGGGCACTTCTCATTCCATGTCTTCTTTTGGCATGCAAACAAATTACAACAGGCAATGGGGTTTTCAGGATGCTGATGAGCTTCAATCAGTGGTTTCCAGCTACATTCACCATCGATGAGTATATTGGGATGAATATAACTTTGTAATATGTATATGGAACTCCTTATTTATCTTTTGAATGAAAGCTTTGTATTCTGGGATGCCTTATGAATGTGAAGTAAGGAAATATTTATGTTTATCATAGAGCTTCTATTTATAGATAAATTATACTTTTATCAGGTAATTTTGATAATTATTTAAAAAAAAACATATATATTTGATATAACAACGCGCATTGCTTGTTGTCAAAACATAAACAACAACGAGCACAGACATGTTGTCATAATATTATAAGACAACACGCTCGGCACGTTGTTGTCAATCGCTCCTACAACGTGCGCGTGTTGTGGTTAATGTTGTTCACAACGAGCGCCAAAATAAATGACGACGTTCAACGCGTGTTGTCGAAAGCCCTACACCTTTTAACGACATCGGCTTCAACAATGTGCGCCGCATGTTGTCAATATGTTTTCACAACGCACATTGCGCGTTGTGAAAGGACTTTTTTCTTGTAGTGGGGAAGGAGAAAGGCACTCAAACAAATCTTGTTCTTCATCTTCTTCCTTCTCTTACTTTGATAAAATTTTGGTTTGAGGATCCTAAGTTTGCAATATATGCAAATGTAACTGTTCGCAGCGACACATGTTTTTTTATCATCTTTTTTTCTCTCAAATTTTAAGATGTTTGTAACTTCCTAGTGCATCTATGTTGGATGATCTTGGTTGATTCCAATACTAGAAAGATCCTTCAGGTTCTAAATCTTAAGGCAAGACTAAGTCTTGGACCGAAAGAGATGCAAGTAAGCCTAATTAAGCTTGTGATGATACTAAAAAATGTTTTATAGCTTTCGGATGAAAATGCAAAACAACTTTTCTTTTTCTTTTGGCTTTAACAGATCATTTGGCATTTCCTGTATCCAAGTAGCTTGTCCTATAGAAGTGGTTTATATGCATTTAAATATCAGATTGTCTCACCAAACACCCTGTCTAAAGAAGTTGTTTATATCAACATAAGAGTAGCAGACAGTAAAGACTAGTTTACATTTTGAAACCCAAGAGATATATATATACACACACACACTATCTAACTAGCTTGTCCAAAAGAAGCACCCTGTCTAAACAAGTAGTTTGAATGCAAGGGTTTAAAGGCATCGAAATGGCGTCTTACAGCTCTAGTAGTAGAATACTTACCCTTACACACCTACGACAAGAACTCGACTGTCCATCCCGCTCTCCAGGCTGAGGATAATTTGAACCAAAAGTAAGAAGATGACGATTTCACTACACTATATTTAGTTTGAATTTAGCATTATGATATCAATTTAACATTGATATGGTTTAAGTTTATCTTCATGGTTTGAATTTACCATCACATATAGGCATAGTGGACTTATTTCCTTTGAGGAAATAAAAAAGGAGATTGAAGTTTCTTTATTAGTATCCAGGCACACATGCTTCTAGAATCGCAACACATTCTTGATGAACTGTTTGAATGTTTGTGTTTCTAAAATCATACTAGAGATAGTACCATATTAGTAGTCATGATGTCTAGTACCCTTCTAATACAGACGTTGCTGTCACGTTCTTCTTATGTGAGTGATGCTATGATAGGCATATAATCCTTGCTATCTAAATGCTTGAAAATTAAACTCGGCTTTATGTTCTCTGGCTGAGGCTGACTGAAGTTCAACAAAATAGTAGTATGGTCTGGTGGATCCGTAAGCTATAAGATCGATTATTATAGTGATAACCATGAAAATTCTCCAGTAGGTATAATGAACAGCATTCTAGCCTTAGCAGCAGATGGGTTCAAAGATTTATTTTAGCAAGAGTATTTCAGTGGTGGATCCAGGATTCTCAGGTCATAGGGTCACAGTGTAAAAAGTGTCGAAGTTTTTTTAGGCTAAACTGTTGAGGTATTTTTAGGACAAATGAGTCATTTTCTATACAATTATTTTAAAAAATAAAAATAAAATATTTATTTCACATTTTAAAAAAAAAAGAAAAAAGAGGAAACATGGAACTACATTATTTTTTTTTTAAATTAAAAAAAACAACAATTTTAAAGCTTAAAAGATTAATTTTCCTAATGTTTTTGTAGATTAATTTCTCTTGATAATTTCCATGAATGTTTTAGTAGAGGGACAATTTTAAAAGGCTAAAGACTTGAAAAAAAAATTTAGACTACTAAATACCCTTGAAATTTAAATAATATTAATGTCATTCATAATTAAAACAAATAAAAGTACATGTGATTTGGAGGTCACGAGATAAAAGATTAATTTTCCTAATGTTTTTGTAGATTAATTTCATGTTCATAATTTCCATGAATTTTTCTGTAGAGGGACAATTTTAAAAGGCTAAACACTTGAAAAATAAATATAGACAACTAAATACCCTTAAAATTTAAAAAATATTAATATCATTCATAATTAAAAAAAAAATAAAAGTACATGTGATTTGGAGGTCACGAGATACAAATACATGTGATTACAAGTTTGGGGTAATTTTTGATGAATTTTTCAGAGCACATATGACTTTTTAATGAATTTATGAAATTAGTCCAATTAAAAATAGACACGTGGCGCCTTG